GGGAATGGGAAACAGCAGTATGAAAGAAGTAAAATTGGAAAAATTAAGCAAAGGAAGATGAGAAGAGAAAGTGAAATAAAGAATCCTATTAAGCAGTAAAAAAATTATTGAAATTTGATGTAATAGAAAAGAATGAACATGAAAAAAAGTTATGCCCCCTTTATCTCATCCTCTCCCTTATTCATTTTTTTTATTTAAAGAAAAGGAAATGAAAAAAATACATGGAGATTAAAAAAAGGGTAGAAATAATACAAAATTACAGACAAACAAAAGGTAAGAAATTGCCGGTTGATAAGTTACACATTGTCATCTTCGAAATAGGTGTTCAGGTTATAGAATTAAAGTATTTAGAATGACATTCAAAAAGTGACCCTACAAACCATTCTTCTCTATGATCGAACAAAAGCTTAGTAATATGATTATCAGTCCTACACATTTGTTTTACATCTAAAAGAGGGTAAGGTTAAACATATCAAAACAGAACAGAACATTTAAAAAAAAAACAATTTAAAGAAATACAGATTTCAAAGAAAGTCCACTGGAGATCTTCATTATCTAACTGTCTCTAGCTTCTTACAAATAGTTGTCCCTATCTTCACCCACTTTATATACTTATTGCATATTATAGAACTAATCAAATCATTACAGGATGATGAAGTCTTTTTAGGTCCTCAAGTTCCAAATTGTGGAACACAATAGCAACTACCATCGCATCTCTCACTCTCTTTGTGATAGCCATCCCCATCTCTGCATATGCTGAAGTTGAACTGAAGAAACCAGTGCAATGTCATTCTAATCAGCAAACAATAGATTGCTAGAATTTATATTATAATGCTACAAAATAAGCCTCGGGTTTCTCAGCCTCTCTTCCTCAGAGTATTTGTTCCTATCCTCTCTGTATTATAGGGAAAACCAAGTCATAACAAGACAGCAAAACAATTTCCTAGAAAAACATGCAATGGATAAGTCATATAAAACTACAATATAAATGATTTTCCGTAGCTACTATGTTTTCTCTTATTATTTTCAATAGATTTGTCCACAACACTGGCTTATTATAGTTAAACATACTATCACCTATTTTTATAAAAACTCAACTTTGACAGCATTGTAGGATTTGAGAGCTGTTACTGATTCATACCAGTATGGATATCCTTTACATCTTGTCATGCTCAGAGTAGTTTCCTCTACTTTTAGGGTTGATTCTAGCAAGCATACCAATTTCAAATAGAATCAGTCAAGGCCAACCAATAGTCTTATGATTCAGATACAATTAAGATCAGTCATAGTAAGACAATGCAAGTAATACAGGATTTCAGTCTAAGTCAATAGGAAAGTAAGGATATTTACCATGGTATAACCTGCTATTTTTGGTTCTAGAGGTCTGTGTCCTCAAATTTGACATGAGTGGACAGACCAGAACAAATTAAATTCAATCTAAATATGGCACTAGGACTACTGTGTCTTTTAAATCGTTATACACCATTAGCAATGACCTCTGATTTTTTTAAAATATAGTTTCAGAGCTGTCTATACCAAAGACTATAGCTTACCGTCTCTGCCTCATGTCTGCTACTCCACTTTTCTGCTATAATTTGTCCACCTTATTCCCTCATTCCATTGTCTGCCCCGTTCACTGAGGCCTCTCTGCCACTGTTGCTGGAATCCTGGTATCTCTTCCTCTCTTTCTCTGTAATGTCCTTCAGCGCTCTCTGTAGGGTTGGATTGGTGGCCATGAACTCCCACAGCTCCTCCTTGTCTTGAAAGTATCTTATTTCTTCATTAATTTTTAGAGAGAGTTTTGATGGGTATATGAATTTTGGTTGCATATTTTTTTCTTTCAGGACTTGGAATATTTCTCCCCACTCCCTTCTTGACTTAAGAGTTTGTGTTGATAAGTCTGCTGTTATTTTGATAGTTTTCTCATTATAGGTAACCTGCATCTTTTCTCTGGCTGCTTTTAATATTCTGTTCTTTTGGTGGATTTCTGGGATCTCGATTATTATATGTCTAGGCGTAGATCTGTTTTGGTTGTAAGTAGCTGGTGTTCTGTATGCTTCGTTTATCTGGATATCATTTCTTTTTGCTATACATGGGAAATTTTGCTTTAATATATCTGTCAATATTTTTTTGTATTTCATTTTTGGATGCTCCTGCTTCCTCACTCATATTCTTTATTCTTAGGTTATGTATCTTTTTGTCATCTTCCAGTTTTAGAATTGCTTCTTTCTGGTTCCTTGTTATTTTTAAGAGGCTTTTTCTTTCACGTTCATATGCCCTAAATCTCTCTTCAAGTTTCAGAAGGCTGTCTTTAGTTTCTGTCAAGGCATTTTGCCAGTGTTCAATGGAGTTTTTAGTTTCCTGATATTCTCTTTGGATCTGTTTCATGTATTCTAAGTTATGTTTAAATTCTTCTTCAGATGCTTCTCTTTCTTTTCTAATTTCCTCAGTTCTTCCATCTGTGTTCTCTTGGGCGGGGCTTGTCATTTCTTTAATTAATCTCTTTATATCTTGCCTCACTTGGATCAGGAGTACAACTTTAAATTCCTCTATGAGGTCATGTAGGTACTTTTTAATTTTGGCTGATGCTGTGTCGAGTAGTGGATGGTTACTGTGCTTGTTCTCTTCAGTGTTTAGTTCTCCTGGGCTTATTTTCTCCTGTTGCGCAGCTGGAGTTTTTTTTACTTTTATCTCTTGTCATGTTTCTGGTTTCTTTCAGACTGTCCTGGAGTTCTCTGGCCCTCTCCGAATTGCTTAGGGCCTTTCAGAAGCGTGCTGGCTTGAGTTTTTGCTGTCCTCCCCAATTTACTGTTATCTGGGGTACGCTGGGATGCAGGGGTGGTACAGGCTAGTCTCTAGCCTCTGTGCCAGTTAATTCATAAATTAGGCTGTACTTTCTGGTTGTCACTGAGTTGTGACAATTTTGTATCCGCTTATTGGGCCCCAAGCAGAGGCTTGGTTTAGCCCCAGTAGCTCCTGCCAGTTCTCTTTGTACCAGAAGTAGCTGAGTAATGTCACTATGGCACAGGGTTCTGCCCAAATCCCAGCCGTTCTCTTCCAAACCTCTCTGTGACAGAAGCACCAGAATAGCAGATCTGCCCAAAATCAAGATGTCTCCCACTAAGTTCTCTGTGTGGAGCTGAAGCCAGCACGTAATCAGGCTCTTCCAGAATTCAAGATGTCTTCCACCAGCCCTCCCTACAGGGGGACCTGGTGATGTCACCAAGCTGCAGTTTCTGCCTCCAGACTAAGATGTCTGCCAACAGACTCTGTGTTATTGATTTCCCCGTGGTGGCGGGCCAGCTGTTCTCTGGCCAACCCCAGCAGCCGCGGGGTTCCCAGTACTCACCAGAGTCCAGCGCAAGTCCTCATTCCGGGACCACTGCACACCAAGCTGCCCACCTTTCCCGCACTCCCAGCACAGCGCGGAACGGTGCACACCGCGGAACGGTGCACAGCGTGCGCTCCCGGCACAGCGCAGAACGTTCAGATATCTGTGTACCGTTTAGATTTGAAATGCTAGAGCCTTGTGCATCTCCTCTGGTGCAGCAGTGCAGTCCTGGCTGCAACTCGGAGTCCTGGGTCTCAGTTTCTCGCAGTCACCGAAAGCAACTCAGCTTTTCCTGCTGGGTCCACAGGTCAGTTTGTTGTTTTAAAGGCGCGGGATTTGCAGCCTCCCGTTATCAGCGTTCACGGTCTCAGAACCACTTTAAATCCTCCAGCTGTACTGTCTTGGTTAATAAGAATCACTATCGATTTGTCTGGCCCTCTCCATGTTTTCATTTTTTAGCTTCTAATATAATTTCTCCGGAGAGACACTTTGCTCAATCCCCTAGCAAGCCGCCATTTTTTCGCCCAATCTCCCTTATTCATTAAAAAATTATTTAATAAAAAAAAGAGAAAGAAAAACCCAAATCCCCCCTTAAAAAAACAGTAAATGAAAAAGAAAAAGAAAAAAGAATGTTTATAAAAGTGTGGTTTCTTTCTAGGGTCTGCAGCATTAGAATCTGCTGTAAATGGGGAGGGATAGTGACTCACTGCTAAGACCTATTTTGTTCCCATACTCACAGTTTTGTGTGTGAATGAGGAATCCTGCTCCACATTCCTTACTGAGCGTGGCCCGCAAATGTTGTCTGCCCTAAAGCTATGAGTACTCTGCAGCTTCCAGTTTCTGAGTTTCTCTGAGCCCCTCAAGTCACAACTTTCCCAGCCTAGCCCATTGGTTTGTCTTTATTTGGTGCCCACTGCTCCAGAGGCTCCTCTGTCCATACAGCAGGATACAGCAACCATCCAAACTGCAGTGTATCCTTACTCACTTTGGTAGATGAGAAAAGAGGTGCTGCCGGGGCAACACAAGATGCTGTGCTAAGATGTGTCTGAAAGAACAGCAAACATGAAGGCGAAGTTTCTGAATTAATGAATCTGTGGTAGGAGCCAACATTTACTAAACAGAGTTTAACAGGACAGAGAAGTCTTGATAACAGACCCATACGTTTGTTCTGAGAAATAAAAGAGATAATGTGTTGAAGTGCTGTGAAAAATATTAAAAAGGCAGCATACATATCACATATTTTTATAATGTTACATAAAAACAATATTAAAATTCTAATACAATAATTTACAAAATCATTTTTGTACCATGTCTCTGTTATTAGTGTAAGAACTTAAATTTTAAAACAGTGCAGGTTTTTTTTTTGTCTACTATTCAAGAGTAAAGAAAAAACCTAGATATGCAGTGGCAAGACGGTCTCTTGTACAAATTCAAACTGATTCAGAGCATCTTCTGGGATCCAAGCTTAAGAATCTTCTGAGGTCAACTCTGGGTACATGTGGGAAGAATACAGTGATCCATTAAGTGTTTTATTGGGCAGGAACAGAGTATGATGGCATTTTCTCTAATACGTTTGAAGTTCTTGACTGTGGTATTTGTGTGTAAGTACTCTGAGCATGAGATAACATGGGGGAATTGTTTAAAAAAAAACAATGTCTTTCACCTGCAATCACAATTCATTTTCAGTTTTTAATAAAATAGCATACAGAAGAAACACATTTCTGTTACATATGTAATTGTAGAACCAGCTTGCCTCCCTGGTTAGCAGCTGTGGTGTGGCAGACTGCAGCTGTCCCAGGGCAAGAACCACCAGCAACTCCTGAGATCCTCCTCATGTTGGAACTTAGGACACTGGAAAATCAAGCAACCAGCTCACCCCTCTGCTAAGCAGTAGTGAGCCTACTGCACACGGGCTGAGAATCAAACATCCCACCTCTCCTCCTCCCCTGTTAGCAAATGGGAGCCAGAGATCTGAGCATCTCTTGGGAGTTTGACCATAGGCAGTATACCAAATAAGTGGGATTCCCTTCTACCATCTCTTTGAAAGCAAATATTTTTATCATTTTCTTTGCTTTATTCTGTTTAATGGTATTGCTCTATTCAATACTCTGTTTTGATAAGTTCTATAATGTTCTGTATTTCATTTTATTTTGATATACCTGATTGAAAGAACAACTATTGTGAAGATAACGAGATATACTTGTGATACCTATTAGTGTTATCCCGGTAACCTACTGTGAAGTTCTGTACCAATTTCACTGCACTGTCTCAATTGGCTTTGTTCTGTCTTGTTCTGTTGTATTTTATTACCTTCAAAATAAGAAAACGTTTTTAAAAATTATGTTAATAAATGGGCTTGTGTTTGACAAGTCTTTTGTGAATTCAACAAGCTCAATACCATATAGTTCAGATTCATGATCATTCATGAAAAAGCACAGAAACTTTTGTAATCTGTCAGACATTATAAAGTTGGCTCAGTGATATTCTTAAAGTGTTGATTTATGCATATTAAAATATTTTAATTGTGAAAATAAATACACATATATGATAAATATTTAAACAATATACTAAAAAAAGAGGTCTCATTCCCAACCCAGACAATACTTCCATACTCCTGTGCCTGTTTAAGTTTGTTCTGGACTTTTTAAACAAAATCTATTCATATACAAATATATTTATACATACATACATATATACACACATGTGCAAAGAGACAGGTAAAAATATGTCCTTTCAGCCAAAAATAGGAACATAATGCATACATGGTTCAGTAATCCATTTTTAAACACTCACTACCAGTACATTTGCATCTTTAGCTGTTTTTTTATTTACTTTTTCTTAATTTTCTGTTTACTTTTACATTAATACAAACTATTTGCTGCTATGTAGAATCCAATTTAGACATTAATTTAAAAAAATATGGATACAATATAAAAGAGGCTTATACAAATGACCACCCTTTTCATACAAAGCAATATACAAATATGAAAATTCAATTCTAATGTGGTGCTGAAGGACACAAGACCTAAGCAACCCAAATTGCTAGTAGATACAAATTGCTTCATTATTGTATTGATTACTCAACATTTAAAGCTTTGTATTTCAACCTAAACATGTAGATCACTTATAATTTTTTTCAAGGAATATTTTCGCTGGGTGTGGAGGCACATGTCTGTACTTCTAGCACTCAGGAAACTGAGGCAGGAGGATTACCACAAATTCAAAGTCAGCATGTGCTACACAGCGACTTTAAGGCCAGCCTGACTATATAGTTAAGATCTACTTTTTGAAAATTTTTCTGTAAAGTATTTGGTCCCACATTACATTTCTTATTTCTATCCACTGCTTCTATATGAAAGTCCACTTTCAATTTCAAATGTATAACATGGTGTGACTTCTCACCATGAAGTAAAACTTGTTACAGGTTTCCTAATATTCTTTAAGTTTACAATACATGTTTCTAACATTAAACACAACAGTTTTCCATTATCAGATTTCCACAACTGATTTCATTCATGAGTTTTTTCAATGAGTTTTCATGTGCTTGATAAGTGATGCATTTTGTTTGAAGGTTTTCCCACATTCATTACATTCATAGGGTTTCTCTCCTGTGTGGGATCTCTGATGTATAACGAGTTGTGACATTGCATTGAAAGTTTTTCCACATTCATTGCATTCATACGGTTTCTCACCTGTGTGAGTTCTTTCATGTACAATGAGATGTGACTTTTGGCTAAAAGCTTTCCCACATTCATTACATTCATATGGTTTCTCCCCGGTATGAACTCTCTGATGTTGAGTAAGACCTTCAATTTGTTTAAAGGCCTTCCCACACTGATTACATTCGAAGGGATTTTCACCAGTATGGGTTCTCATATGGTAAGTAAGAGATGAGCTATGTCCAAAGGCTTTTCCACATTCATCACATTTATAAGGTTTCTCTTTTGTATGAGTTCTTTGATGTATAATGAGGTGTGACTTTTTGCTGAATGTTTTCCCACACTCATCACATTCGAAAGGTTTCTCACCTGTATGAATTCGCATATGTTTTGTCAGGGATGAACTATACTTAAAACCTTTGCCACATTCATTACATTCATATGGTATTTCACCTGTATGAGTTCTCACATGTTCAGTAAGAGATGAGTTATACCTAAAAGATTTTCCACATTCCTTACATTCATAAGGCTTTTCACCTGTATGAGATCTCACATGTTGGATAAGGTTTGAGCTGTGTCTAAAAGTTTTTCCACATTCAGTACATTCATAGGGCTTTTCCCCAGTATGAATTCTTAGGTGGTCAGTAAGGGCATGTTTATGACCATGGGCTTTGCCACATTGAACACATTCATATGGCTTTTCTCCAGTGTGAGTTCTCTGATGTACAACAAGGTGAGACTTCTGGCTAAAGGCAATTCCACATTCATTGCATTCATAGGGTTTCTCTCCTGTATGTGTTCTGTGGTGGTCAATAAGTCCTTGTTTATGGCTGAGAACCTTGCCACATTGATCACACTCATAGGGTTTCACAGAAGCTTAAGTTTTTTCAGTCTTAGTAGATGATGTCTCATGTTTCTCTCCCATTTGGATTTTGTCTTTCTTAGTACAGGATGAATGATGATCATATAATTTCTTTTGTTTCTTGCCAGTTTGAGTTTTGTCACACTTATCAGAAGTATGGTTGGATAATTTATCAAGTTTCTTTCCAGTTTGATTTTTGTCTTTCTTTGTATCAGATAAGCTATGCTTTAATGCCTTCTTGTGTTCTTTAGCAATATCAGGTTTGTTTCTTGCAGAGTTTTTTACATGACCAAGTGAGTCTACATTCTGTTTCAAATCCTTTCCATGTGAATCAAATTTAAACTTTTTCTGTGAAGGACTAAGTTTTGTACTCACATTTTTTTTCTCCAATGAAATACACTCACCGCCTTTCTTCTTAGTTGGAGTTTTCTGGAATGCACATTCCCTAATGTGTTTGTCTTGAGATTTCTCATTATTCTTTAGCTGGTCATCTTGATGAACTTCTAAAATAGAATTTAATGATATATTCTCATGAATTTTCAAACATTCATATAACTTCTTTATAAGATTTAGAAATAATTTGCTACTAGGTGGAAAGAACTATCATGAAGAAATGTCTATATCATCTTAGATTTGAGGAGACAAATGTTGCAGTAAAGCCAAGAAATAAAAATTGTTAACAGTGATTAGAATCAGGTTTGACTGCTTAAAAATATGACCCTGAAACCTTGGATCAAAGATGAAATAAACACAAGGACTACTATAGTTCGTATCTAGATCTCCCCATAAAACCTGAGGTGGTCATACGTAGGACTTTTCAGAGACTGGATCTGGAGCTAGATGTGGAGTGTGTGATGCTGTGATCAAGGGTGTTTGATTACTAAATTAATCTACTTACTGGTTTTCCATAGTTCTAGGTATGGATGGGGATGTAACTCAGCAGCACAAGTACCTGCCTGGCAAGTGCAAGGTCCTAAATTCAATTCCCAGTACCAAAAAGTCTGCATAGCTCTGGGTGTGGATAATGGAAAGCCCTAAGCTGGATGTGAGTACTATCCACCCTAAGGCCATGTAGCCTGGATAGAATATAGGGAGCAGAAAGAGGTCTGCTGCTTTTCTGCTTCACTCTTTGCTGCCTTCTACCCAGCATGAACTGTTTGTCCTCTGTGATGGCCCTCTGCCATGCCACCCTGCCTTGAAGCCAGCCAACCAAGACCTGAAACTACTACAAATTGTGAGCTATAATAAACTTTCCTCGTCTAACTTTGGGTATCCAGTATTTTTGTCTCAGCACTGAGGAAAGTAACTAAGCCAAGAATATTAATCAGAGAATAAATGAAGCTAAAAGACCTTGGGAATATAGCCAATATATTCTGAATCTCTCCTCAACCATAGATGCCCAGATCTAAAAAATACCAGTTTATGCATAATATTTAGTGCCCATGGCTTGTACTATATTACTCTACCTCTCCATATTCAGTTGTAAACACATCTGGTTCAATCCAATATATCCAATGAGACTCTTCCTCTCAAAAATGTAGCAGACTCTGATTAGGCACAGTAGCAAGAATTTGTAATCCCAGCTACTTGGGAGGGTGATAGAGAAGCATTACAAGCTTGAGACAAGCATGGGAAACTTAATGAGAAATTATGTCAAACTAAGAATTTAAAACACCTGGGGGTTTAACTAGTGGTAGAGTGTTTGCCTAGCATGTATGAGGTCCAATTCTCAATATCACCAAAATAAATTTAACTTCATTGGGTTTCCACTCACTGCTTAAATTTTAAAAATTATACACGACAAGCACTAGTAAAGCCACAAATTCACTATATGACCAAAAACTCCTCAGGGCAAAGAATGAAGCACATACACATAGAGAAGCAGAAATATAACATTTTATATGCTTAAATACACCACTTGTACTTTAATTCCCAGTGGCCTCCTAGTTCCCTGTTCCAGTTCTTTGTAAGATCTGGTTAAAATATCTCCCCTTAGATTATAAGAGAAACACTGTAGAGAGGCTACACTGACTCCATTTTGTCCCAGGTACATCCAATCAACAATGTTTTGGGAAAAAGTGCAGGCCTTGAAACATTCCCCGCACCCCAGTGTAAAACCATGAGGTCCTATAAGGACAAGAAGCAAACAAGTAATATAATCTAAGATTGTGCAATTTGAGTTTCTTTGTTCTTTATCTCAAGAAAAGCTGCTTGTCGCAAATAGATTGGAAAGTTATAACACTTTTGGGCCATGTAAAACTACACAGCTGGGAGGAAGGAAAACCTTGTGGCTTTAGTAAGTAAAGGAGTACAGCTCAAGATCAAGCTCAGAGGTAAAAAAGGTTGAGCAACACTCAGAAAGATAATGGGTTGACCCCCTAATCTAAAAACTAAAGGAGCTAGTGGAACCCAAAACATACAAAGCATCCAGAGAAGGAGAAAAGTGAGAAATTGTCTAAAAAAGGCAGGCAGAGGACATTGTTAATAGTGTATCATGATTTAAAAGTCACAGTAGTCTTATCACTCTGTTTAGTTTGAATTTATTTTGTTCCAGTCTGTCTACTCATATTAGATTTGAGGGCACAGACAGTTATCCCAAAAATAGAAGGTTATACCATGGTAACTATCCTTAATTTCCTATTAACTTAAACTGAAACCCTGTATTACTTACATTGTCTTATTATGACTGATCTTATTTGAAGCTGGTTTGTTAGACTGCTGTTTGCCTTGACTGTTTTTATCCTAATTTGGTATGCTTGATAGTATCAAGTGTAAGAATAGAGGCAACTACTCTGAAGATGACAAGATGTAAAAGATACTCATTCTGGTTTGATTATTAACTGCTTGCAAAGTCCTACAATGTCTCCAAAGTTGTGTTTTTATTAAAATAGCCATGTAACGCTAAGTTCAATTATATTATGTCTGATGATGTAGACAATTCTATTGAAAATAAAAAGAGAAAGCATAGTAATTACTATAAATCACCTAATATTGTGGTCTTATATGTCTTTTTCATTTCATTTTTTTCTAGGAATTTGTTTTGTTAGCTTGTTATGATCTGTTTTCCCTATATTACAGAAAGGAAAGATATATATGTAGAAATTCACACATGGGGAGAATTTTTAAACTATTTACAGGAACAGATTATATAATACAAGATGTAATGAACAGATACTCTGAAGAAGAAGAGACTAAGAAACCCAATGCTAATCCTGTAGCATTATGATATAAAATCTAGCAATACTATTATTCACTGTTCAGAGTGCTATTAGTCTAGTTTCTTATGTTCAATTTCAGCATACGTAAAGATGAGGACACCTTCTACAAACAGAATGAGAGACATTATGGCAGTCATTATTGACTTCCCCAATGTCAGGTCTTGACGACCTAAAAGGCCTTCATCATCCTATAATGATTTGATTAGTTCTATTATTTTCATTATGTATTCACTGTGTGTGAAGATGGGGACAACTATTTGGAAGAAAACTAGAGACAATAAGATAGACAGTGAAGATCTGCAGTGGAGTTGCTTTGAAATCTGTGTTTCTTTAAATTGTTTCCTTATGATCTGTTTTGTTCTATTTTGTTATATTTAATCTTATCCTCTTTAAAATAAAAAAAAATCAAAAAAAGTAAAAAAATTTAAAAAATCAATAAAAGCTGCCTGTTTATGCTGGCCAGGCAGCAGCCATTAGTATGTATGACATTTTATTTTCCTTTTGTTTGCAAAACTCCAACAATACACCCATGACCTAATCAGAATTCCTGTTTAAAAATGCTAACTAAAGTAAACCAGAAAAGAAAAGGTGAGTCTACTAAGGAAACTAATATATGACTGAGGAAATAAACAGAAAAAGGTGTTCCACTGCTGCTTATTCCAATGCTACTGCATTGTTGTGAAGAAGAAGAAGAAGAAGAAGAAGAAGAAGAAGAAGAAGAAGAAGAAGAAGAAGAAGAAGAAAAGGAGGAAGAGGAAGAAGAAGAATAAGAAGAATAAAAGAGGAAGAAGAAGGAGAGGAAGAGGCAGAAAAAGAAGAGGAAGAAGAAGATGCAGTAGTAGTAGCAGCAGCAGCAGTACCCTACAATTCCTCAGTTCTCTGATGACTTTACAAAATGATACAATTCACAGAAAAGAGCTCAGCAAACAAACCCCACAGCATCTGGATTTACAGTGCACATGCACTCCAACAGTTTGTCATGGAACAGTTTGTTCTCGTCTAGTCATGACCACTGCTGATTCTAAATGCTAAGTCTATCCCCACCTCAAAGTAGCTGCACACATTCTTACCCTATACATTACAGAATTACATATTTTGAATCATATTCTCAACACTATCTCCCTTCTCTAAGACCATCACCCATATTCACAGGTATAGGCAGACATATTCACAATGTATGATCCAACTTCTGGTTGAAAGCAGTTATTGAACAGTGGTAAATACCAGTCCTTAAGTGGTTCAATAATATTTTTCTTCTAAGAAATTGGGGCTGAAGGGACTGGGGATTTAGCTCAGTGGCATAAGCGCCTGCCTTGTAAGCAGGCAGTTGTGAGTTGGATCCCTGGTACCAATAAAAAAAAAGGAAGAAATTGGGGCTGAAATAACACTTGTGCTAGCTAAACATGGATATCATATGTGTAAACCTATAAATTTAAGAACTAAGGCTGCCATTTGGGGGTGGTCTTTTTTCAGTTACATGTATAGAAAAGCAGATAAAGCTTCAAAGTGAGAATTAAAAACACTAAAAGAGTCCCCACAATCTGAAAAAGCAAAGGAAAAAAAAGTGAACAGCCACTCTTGTGGTAAAGGGAAAATAGGAAAAAGTACAAATTGGACTTGATGAACAGACAGTCAGGAAATACTATCACTTTAATGATGAACATTTAAGAGATCAGCTTCTATGGAGTAGAAGGTGTTAGTAGAAGGTGTGAGTAGAAGGTGTTTAGGAGGTTTTGTGAGATGTAGCACCCTAGGAGAAAAAGTGTAACAGAATCTCCTCCTAAGTATCATGACAAGGCCAGGTTCTCCAACGCCACGGATGATGGGGAAGATGAGGGCAAATTCTTTTGAGGGTAAAAGGATCAAAACTCAAAGCCGCTCTCCCGCCCGGGGCCCAACTACCACCGCTGGGGACTGGAAGGTGAGCATCAAGCCGAGCAGAGGCCGGCCCTGCTGCCATCTCTCCCGCCCAGGGCCCAACTACCACCACTGGGGACCGAAAGGTGCGCATCCAGCCGAGCAGCGCCGGCCCTGCTGCCGCCTCTCCTGCCCGGGGCCCATACTAAGACCACTGGGGACTGGAAACCTGCGCATCCAGCCGAGCGGAGGCCAGCCCTGCTGCTGCCTATCCCGCCCAGGACCCATACCACCACCGCTGGGGACTGGAAGGTGTGCATTCAGCTGAGCAGAGGCCGGTCCTGCTGCCACCTCTCCTGCCCAGGGCCCAACTACCACCACTGGGGGCCGGAAGGTGCGCATCCAGCTGAGCGGAGGTGACTCCATCCGGCCCTGAAACTGTGCAAATTGAGGAAGCTTTAGGTCTACCTGAGAGGAGCCTGGCAAGCCTCTTTTAATCCAAGGGCTCCGCTGCCCAAGGAGGGAGCTACTATAAGAGGAATCCCAAGAGCACAGGATGTCAGAGTCAATTTACAACACAACCAGGGGAAACTCTGAAACAACACTTGAAACACAGTAATATAGGAAAATGACAAAACAAAAGACCAAAATGCAATCTCAAACACCCAACCGATCCCCCCAAGAAAGCCTAGGAGCCATGTACATAGAAGAAAATAGATGCCATATACCTGAAATACCTGAAACAATAGTAATAGAAATAAAGAAGCAGCTCCGGGAAGCTTTGAAAGAATTCAAACTAGAAATAATATATCAGGTAAAAGAAGAAATAATAAAAGAAATGAAGGAGATGCTGAACATATCTAAAGAAGACACAGATAAAAAATTGGAGGAACTAAACAAAAGGATAGAGTCTCTGGATGAAAAATATAAGAAACAAACAGAATATATAAAACAGATGCAAAGAGATATACAGGAAATCAAAAGCAACACTGAAAGTTGTAAAAGCCACCTCAATGAATGCAAAGAGAATTTCGGATCTCGAAGACAAGATTGCAGCCAGTGAACAGGAACGGAAAGATCTTTTAAAAATAACAAGAAATCAAGAAATAACAATACAACACCTGCAAGATGATGCAAAGAAAAACAACATCAGGTTGATAGGGATAAATGAAAAAGGAGACAATACAAAGGATATCAAGAGGATATTTAGAGAAGTAATTGCTGAAAACTTTCCAAACATGAAATTGGAAACTGACATCAGGATCAATGAGGCATATAGAACCACAAATAGCCATAGCCAAAATAAAACTACACCCAGACATATAATAATCACCATTCCAGAAATCGAACAAAAGAATAGAATATTAAAAGCTGTCAGAGATAAAAGACAGATCACCTATAAAGGAAAACCCATCAGAATAACAGCAGACTTCTCAACACAAACAATAAAGGCAAGAAGAGCATGGAGTGAAGTATTTCAGACCCTAAAGGAAAATGATTTCCAACCTAGACTGATGTACCCTGAAAAACTGTCCTTCAAAATTGATGGAGAAAGAAGATACTTCCACGACAAAGAACAGCTGAAGAAATTCATGATCACCAAGCCAATCCTGTGAAGAATACTGAAAGACAGTCTAGATACACTTAAGAAAAAACCACTTAACAAAGCAGACAATTAAATAGAACAGAAAGATAAAGGTGCAACAGCAGAAATATAACATGTCACTAATAAACCAATATATAACACTTATAACCATTAATGTAAATGGTCTCAATGCACTAATTAAAAGAAATACACTGGCAGAATGGATCAAGAAACAAAATCCAACCATATGCTGTCTACAAGAAACCCATCTAACCCAAAAGGATACTCACAGACTGAAAGTCAAAGGATGGAAAACAATACTTCATGCAACAGGAACCCCCCAAAAAAGCGAGGGTAGCTATTCTGTTTGCAGACAATGTGAACTTCAAACCAATAATGATCAGAAGAGACAAAGCAGGTCACTACATACTGGTTATGGGAAAACTTCAAGAGGAAGAGATAACTATCTTAAATATATATGCACCAAATTCCAAAGCACCCAGTTATATAAAACAAGTAATATCAGAAATGAAAAACCAAATTAGCAGTAATACAATTATAACAGGAGATTTTAACACACCATTGACACCAATGGACAGACAAACAGGACAGAAAATCAGCAAAGAGATAAAAGAACTGAATTACACCTGTGAACAAATGGAATTGATAGACATATACAGAGTATTCCGCCCAACAACAACAGAATACACCTTTTTCTTAGCAGTACAAGGGTCATTCTCTAAAATAGACCATATATTAACTCATAGAACATATTTAAAGAAATGCAAAAGAGTTGAAATCATCCCCTGCATGTTATCAGGTCATAGCGCTATGAAATTAGTAATTAATGATAAAAGATACTGCAAAAATCCCATAAAAACATGGAAATTGAATAACACACACTTGAGTAATCAGTGGGTCACAGAGGAAATTAAACAATACCTACAAACTAATGAAAACACATATACAACTTACCGGAATCTGTGGGTTGCAATGAAAGCTGTCCTTAGAGGGAAATTTATTGCACTGAGTTCCCACATCAGGAAAACAGAACAAATACAAATAAATAACCTGATGCTACACCTCAAACAGTAGAAAAAGAAGAGCAAGTCAAGCCCAAAGCCAAAAGAAGAGAGGAAATTATAAAAGTCAGAGCAGAAATCAATGCAATAGAGACTAAGAAAACAATACAAAGAATCAATGAATCAAAGAGTTAGTTCTTTGAAAGAATAAATAAAATTGATAAGCCCCTAGCTAACCTTATTTTAAAAAGGGAAGAAAAAGCTCAAATTCATGCAATAAGGAATGAAAAAGGTGAAATCACTACAGACCCAAGAGAAATACAGAAGATCATCAACACCTATATCAAAAACCTCTACTCTCAAAGGTTAGATAACACAGAAGAAATAGACAGATTTCTAGAAGCATATGAAGTACCAAAGCTAGGTCAAGAAGAAGTAAAACTGCTGAATAACCCAATTTCTATTCATGAAACCGAAAATGTAATTAAGTCATTACGTACAAAGAAGAGCCCAGGCCCAGATGGATTCACTGCAGAATTCTACAAGAAATACAACGAGGACCTAATGCCGACACTCCTCAAACTCTTCAATGAAATTGAAAGGGAAGCATTCCTTCCTAAGTCATTCCTGGAAGCAAATATTACTTACTCTAGTACCAAAACCTGAGAAAGACCCAACTGAAAAAGAGAACTACAGACCAGTCTCCCTAATGAACACAGATGCAAAGATCCTCAATAAAATATTGGCAAATAGGATGCAGCAATTCATCAAGAAGATTATACACCATGACCAAGTGGGATTCATTCCAGGTATGCAGGGATGGTTCAACATACGTAAATCAATAAATGTAATCCACCATATCAATAGAGTCAAAAGTAAGAATCACATGATCATTTCTATAGATGTAGAAAAAGCTTTTGATAAGGTACAACATTCATTTATGATAAGAATGTTACAGAAAATTGGAATAGATGGTTTTTACCTCAACATAATAAAGGCCATCTATGACAAATCAACAGCCACTATCATACTAAATGGCCAATAATTGAAGGCCTTTACTTTAAAATCAGGCACAAGACAAGGATGTCCCCTGTCACCGCTCCTATTTAATATAGTACTGGAAATACTAGCCAGAGCAATTAGACATGAAAGAAAAATAAAAGGTATAAAGATAGGAAAACAAGAAGTTAAATTATCTCTATTTGCAGATGATATGATACTCTACATAGAAGACCCTCAAAACTCCATTGAAAGACTCCTAGATATAATAAATAAATTCAGGAATGTGTGATCCGGCCTGCAGATCAACAAGTTCAGAACTTCTGGAGGGGAAACGGGGATTAAATAAAAGACTTCGGGGAGACAAAAGAGACGAAGGCAAGTTGATGTGATCCAATCAAGCCTCCGGTTTATTCGGAAAATGATCACACCTTTTATAGGCTAAGGGCGGGAGCTGGGACAGGAAGAGGTTAAACAGATGAATACAACAGGGTCACCGTCACATCCGGATACGTGACGTAAGCAGGAGAGGATTATGGTTAATGTAGGCAGACGCAGTGCCCATAGGAGAGACATCGAGGCAGCAATGCCTGTCACTCGGCTCCCTACATCTCCTCCCTTTTTATATTATTTAATTAAGAGTATGGCAGGCCCTGTGAGGACAGTGTCTGTCTTAGGTCAAGGACCTCATTGCATGAACCCAACCAGGCCTTACCCGTCATGGGCTTGCATAACAGCAGTTGGTCCTGTGCCTGTCTTAGGTGGCCGTTGGAATTAACATGCATGTCCTAGTTGCCCGTCTCTGAATGCCTGTCCATTGCTCCAGGGAGTTAGGCCGCATCATCATATGGGCCACTTGTGGGAATTCCTTCCCAGTAGGTTTGTTGATCTGCCATCTCCAGCTGATGATAGTGTACCTGAATGGGCTTTGCCATAAATGCGTCTATCCGGTTATTAATGAACATCATAATCCTCTGAAAAATACAAGAACTCACAGAAATGAGAAACAATAGGTCAGCTAGGGGACCCAAAAGGGGCGCTAGTAAGGGAAAAACTCCCCCCCCCCAAATCAAGGAGAAGGAGTTGACAGCCATTTGTTGGTGTCTCTGTATGAAGTCATTCTCCTACATCTTGGAGGATGCCTTGCATAACACTGGATGCAGTCTATTTGGCTGGTGTATGTTCCTCCAGACTGAGAAGCGCCTCTTCTGCAGTCATGGGGTTCTGTGCATGGCTGTCAGCAGTTGTAGTCTGTTTGGCAGGAGTTGAAATTCACCATGGGTGTGGTGTGGCTCTAGAAGGCTGACTAGGCAGCATAAGGCTCCAGGGAGATGTGTCACCTGTAAGAGAACACAGGGGATTGTGCCTCAGGAAATAACATTATTCCTGGGCGTTACATGGGGTCTTTGAAGAACTGTCTACTTGCTTTACGAGGCGTTCAGGTAGCCATCTAGCTTCTCTATCTTGTTGAGAGTAAACACACACTGAACCTCGTCCCCAGATAAGGACTGGATCAGGGCCATTCCACACATTGGTTAGTGGGTCTCTCCATAAAACAGATGCAAACCGTGTTTGAGTCTGAGTATGCCAAAACCGAGATGCTGCAGAGCAGCCTGAAGCATCCAGGGTCAGAAAATTTAAAATAAAAAGAGCATGTGAAAGGACATTTCTAGGGGACCCCTGGGTGGGGTACCATGTCTCCCTTTTTATTTTATCTATGGTGAATTTAAGAGAACGATGCGCACGTTCAACAATGCCTTGTTCCTGAGGATTATAAGGTATACCTGTGGTGTGGAGGATATTAAGGCTCTTGCAAAATTGAGCAAAGGAGGTACTGGTATAGCCAGGGCCATTATCGGTCTTGAGCTGTTGAGGACATCCCAGAACTGAGAAGGCTGACAGCATATGGGCTATAATGTGTCTAGCAGCTTCTCCAGTCTGGAGAGTGGCAAAAATGAAGCCACTATAAGTGTCAATAATGTGTTCTTTTTGGAGAGACTGATAAATGGACCCACATGAGAGGAGCTTGTTGCCAGAATACTGCTGTGGGGCAAAGCTTTGTATTAAAAATGAGAAACCGTAAAGGCTCATTGTAGTCCATAAAGGAAACAGTTTGCTGAGCAATAGCCTCTTCTACTTTAATGAGCGCTCTCCTGGCATCAGGTGTAAGCTCTCGGGGGGAAGTTGGATCTATGTCTCCCTGAAGCAGCGCATAAAGGGGCTGTAAATCACGTTTTGTTAGTTTTAAAAATGGTATGAGCCAATTAATGTCTCCCAATAGTTTTTGGAAGTCATGAAGTATTCTGAGGCCATCAAGCCTCAGTTGGGGCCTTGAAGAGAGTATTTGAGTGCCACGTAATTGAAAACCCAAGTATGTATATGGATCAGTAAGTTGTACTTTATCAGGGGCTATTTGAAGTCCAGACTCTTGTAAGGCAACCTGTAAGTCCTGGTTTTTTTGTAGAGGACTGAATTTGATTTTTTCTTTTGCATTCACGAGCCGTGTGGCCACTTTGGCCACATTTGAAACAAATGGCATCTTTTTTAGAACGAGAAAGGGATTGTGTTACTATGCAACCTTGTTGTGTTGCAGCCATGGCTAGGCCTTGATAAACTGGCCCAATATCTGTACATAAGCGTATATAACCCGAGAAGTCCTCTTTTTTGCGATGTGGTCCAATTGCAGCCTGACAATCTGAGGTTGCATTTTCATAAGCCAATTGTTTAATCAGGGCAGAGTTTGTTTTTGTGGAGCCGAAAAGACGCTCTGCCGCCTGTAAGAGGCGATCGACAAAGTCCGACAAGGGCTCCTCAGGCTTTTGTTTTATTTGGGTGAGAGATAAAGTAGGCTCACCTCCTGAGGGGAGCCGTTTCAATGCTCTAATGGCTGCCATATTAATCTGGGCAAAGAGGTCCGAATCGAACTGCATTTGGGTCTCTTTTGTGGCAAAATCTCCTGTTCCTGTAAGCATAGCGAGGGTCCAGGGGTTTGGCCGTGTGGCGTTGTCTCTGGCTATGTCCTCGCATTGATCAAAAAATTCAGATCTCCATAATAGATAATTGCCTCCGGAGAGGGTGGCTTTTGCTAAGTCTTTCCACTCATTAGGAATAATCCAACCCTGAGTCAAAGAATCTAGAACTGCAATGGTGTATGCGGCAGTCGGACCATATTGAGAGACTGCGGCCTTTAACTCTTTTAAGGCTGCCATGGTGAGAGGTGTACGTATCCTAACAGCTTGTGGTTAAGTGCCCTCTTCAACATCCCGTGGGGGAGTAAAGGCCTCTGTGACTGGGAAAGCCATTTTAGGCTGGCTGCCAGAGGCAGGCACCATTTTAAGCGCACTACAAGGTGTGCTGGAGGCAGGCTCCATCTCAGGGACACTATAAAACTGTGTAGCTCGGAGGGCCTGCAATTGAATTGAAAGATTTTGGCATTCTTTTTCTAGCTGTATCTGTTTTAAAAGATCTGCTTTTCTTTGCTCTAACTCCACTAATGTGCTAGAAGGTTGAGAGCAGATGCTGAGTGCATCATCATAGTCAGGGGACGGCCTAATAGTGGCTGGTGCTGCAACAGGGTTAGGGTGATATCTAGAGGCTTGTTGTGCTGGTTGTTCCCAGTTGACCTCCTGAGAATCAGAAAGGCTGGGGTCTAAAGGCTTATATGAATACCCAATTGGCCATGGAGGCACAGGGAGTGGCGGGCTGCCATCCTGGGACCTGCTGATCATGTCAACAGGTGGAAGTGGTGGCAGATCACCATGTACGATGACCTCTAACAGGCCATCATTCTCTGCATCTGAGAAATCAGAGGCTTCAGATTTTTCTGAGGATGGTTTTGAGGTAGATTTAATGGAGTCGCGCAAGGCAGCCTCACCTAGTGTAACTGTCTCCTCAACCTGAGGGTCTGCATGCCTCTGGGAAAGCAGCTCAGAGATTAAATTCCAATATGTAAAGGTGGTCACAGGAACCTTTTCTGGACCGAAAACTCTACAATAATCTTTTAAAGCATCTCTTACCCTATTCCACCTCTTGGTATCTATAGAACCCTCTAGGGGGAACCAAGGGCAAACCTTATGAATAAATTGAAAATACTGCAATAATTCTTTTGTTCCAACCCTTATCTCTCTTGTCTTTAATGCCTTTATAAGACCTCCGACAAACACTTTGTGTTCGCTCAATACTTGACCCATGTCTGGGAAGGGAAATGGGGTTGCCGTTCACTCACGTCGGGCAGGATGTCGGGTAGTCGTCTGCGCAGGTCTCGGTACTTAATTTAATGTCCTGTTGCTTTAAGCTTTAATCCTTGATTCAGTTTGCTCACTCCTCAGCCGAGGTCTCTGGTTCAATTCGCTTTCACTTTCAGTTTAAGCTAGCTGTCTCTCGAACGGCTCCCTTGTTAACTTCTCCGTGCCAGGAGCTCCCACGCTGGGCGCCACTTTATCCGGCCTGCAGATCAACCTATTCAGAACTCCTGGAGGGGAAACGGGGATTAAATAAAAGACATAGGGGAGAGAAAAGAGATGAAGGCAAGTTGATGTGATCCAATCAAGCCACTGGTTTATTCGGAAAATGATCACACATTTTATAGGTTAAGGGCGGGAGCTGGGACAGGAAGAGGTTAATCAGATGAATACAACAGGGTCATCGTCACATCCGGATATGTGACATAAGCAGGAGAGGATTATGGTTAATGTAGGCAGATGCAGTGCCCATAGGAGAGACATCGAGGCAGCAATGCCTGTCACTCGGCTCCCTACAAATGTGGTTGGATACCAAATCAATACTCAAAAATCAATAGTATTCTTATATAATAACAACAAAATCACAGAGAGAGAAATAAGAGAAGCCACACCCTTCACACTAGCAACCAAGAAAATGAAATATTTAGAAATTACTCTCACGAAAGAAGTGAAAGACCTATACAGGGAAAATTATAATACGTTGAAAAATGAAATTGAAGATGATCTCAGGAAACGGAAAGACATCCCTTGCTCATGGATAGGAAGAATAAATATTGTGAAAATGGCCATTCTCCCAAAACTGTTTTACAGATTCAATGCAATCCCAATAAAAATACCATCAACATACCACATAGATCTCGAGAAATAAATCCTAAAATTCATCTGGAACCAGAAGAGACCTAGAATAGCAAGGACAGTTCTAAGCAGCAAAGGAAAGGCAGGAGGCATCACAATCCCTGACTTGAAGTTATACTACAAAGCAACTGTAGTAAAATCAACATGGTACTGGAATCAAAACAGAGCCGAAGACCAATGAGATAGATTGGAAGACACAACCACAACTACAAACACACTCAACCACCTCATCTTTGATAAAGGGGCCAAACAGGTTCACTGGAAAAATGACAGTCTCTTTAATAAATGGTGTTGGAAAAACTGGCTCTCCATATGCTGAAAACTAAAACTAGACCCATGCCTGTCACCATATACTAAAATAAAATCTAAATGTATCAAAGATCTAAATATTAAAACAGAAACACTAAATCTATTGGAAGACAAATTGGGTAAAAACCTTGAAGACATAGGAGTAGGTAGAGAATTCATGAACAAGACTCAAACCACATGGGAAATACTTCCCAGAGTCAATAACTGGGATCACATCTTATTAAAAAGTTTCTATACATCGAAAGAAATCTCTAACATAGTGAAAAGAAAACCCACAAACTGGGAAAAAATCCTAGTGAACTGTCCCTCAGACAAAGGACTTCTGTCTAAAACATACAAAGAATTAAAATAAATCAGACCCCCAAAATTCAAAGACCCCATCCAAAAATTGGCATCAGAGATGAATAAACAATTTTCAGATGAAGAAATACAAACGGCAAATAAATATATGAAAAAATGTTCAGCATCACTAGTCATTAGAGAAATGCAAATTAAAAGCACACTGAGATTTCATCTCACTCCTGAAAGAATGGCCAAGATCAAGAAAACCACCAATAACAAATGTTGGAGAGGCTGTGGGGAAAAAGGAACTCTCCTGCACTGTTGGTGGGAGTATAGACTGGTGCAACCATTGTGGAGATCAGTCTGGAGATTTCTTAGAAAGCTGGGACTGGCACCATTTGACCCAGCTATTCCACTCCTAGGCATATTCCCAGAAGAACTGAAAGCATCATACCACAATGATATATGTGCACCCATGTTTATAGCAGCACAATTTGTAATAGCCAGATCTTGGAAACAACCTAAGTGTTGATCAACGGAGGAATGGATAAAAAAGTTGTGGTATTTTTATACAATGGAGTACTACTCAGCTATAAAGAATGATCACATTGAGACATTTATAAATAAATGGATGCAGCTCGAGACCATACTTATAAGTGAAATAAATCAAACTCACTGGTATAAATACCGAATAGTTTCCCTAGTGTAAGAAACGATAAGAATACATGAAAGTACATGGTAATCATGATTCCCTGTCACACTGGTTTGAAGCCATATAATGTTTTCACTCATTACTTGGAATGGTTTTAATTTGGGTGTTTTTATATTATTGTCTGTGATACTACAAATGACTATTTTGAAGAGAATAAGAGCGTAATAGCTAGCGCTGATTTAATATCATCCTGTTTTGAAGCCCCATCAAGTTTTTGTTCATTTGTTTCCATTGGTTCTAACATGTGGTACCTTACTATATGTTAATGTATGTGATAGTATAAGCAAGTTTGTTATAGACAAAGAGATAATATAGAAATTCATATTTGGTTTCTGCTAGCTGGTTCTAAATTCCCTGCAACAATTTCATTCTCTTGAATGGTCTCACACTGTCTTGATAAATTTGATGCTATAGTATACGAAGTTAGACTCAAATATTTCAAGGAAAGAGTCACTATGGTAACTACTATTAATGTCAAGCTATCTGGGGGTGAAACACAATGATGGTTAAATTTTTCGATTCTGACCGGTGTTGTTATGTTGACACGTTCTTTTTTTTTTATCTCAGTCTCCCCACCTTTTTCTTCCCTTTTTTTTAAAAAAATTAATTTATTTCTTAGTATCTTTTAACTAAGGGAAAATTAAATTAAAAATATTGCGATAGATTATAGTAAATTTTTTTGTTTCCCTATTAACCTGATTTGAACCCCTGTAGTGTTCTCCATATCTTGTTCTGACTGATTTTATTATATTCTGTTTCGCTTAATAGCATCAAGTTTGAGGGTACAGGCAACCATTTGGAAGGCAACCAGATATTCTATGATGCCCATTATTATTTCACTATTATCTTCTTTGGAATCCTGTAAGCTCTCCAATGTGGTTTTATTGGTCTTATGTACAGTTTTGTTCAATTCTTTTATACTAGCTGATATAGGCTACTCTTTTTAGGATAACAAGAGGCATAATGGTAACCATTGTTGATCACCTAGTAATCCCCCCCTTATTTTTTTTATTTTTTATCTTATTTTTTATTTATTTATTTTTTTTTCTTCATTTTATGCTATGTCCATCCTCCTGATCTAAATGACTCTGTTTTGCTTTGTCACATTGGGTTTTTCTTTGGTCTGTCTTGTTTTGTTTTTTGTTTTTTGGCCTTTTTTTCAATCTTTTTTCTTTTCCTCTTCAAAGAAAAAGTTAAAAAAAATTGTGGAAGTAATGGAAACTAAAATGCGCGATTGTTAGTGTAAAAAAGAGGAAGGAAAGTGATCTCAAGGATATAACTGCAAGTTTATTTAAATGTGTAGGAAAGGGAACCATATTGCTGAGTTTTTCTTGGATCATTGAACAGAACTGACTGCAATATCACTGTATTAATCTCCACTTTGTATGCTTTAATTTTGTAATCTGGACAGCTGTTTGTGAGTTGATAATGTGTGATCTATTAACTGGTGAACTCTTACTGTATGTTTTTTTCTCTTGAAATTCTGTGTTGCTTCTAGCCTTTTACTGTCTTGCTTCGTTTAGTTTTGTTTTTCTCTTTAAATAAAAAAAAAAAAACTCAAAGCCTTCTTGACATGTTAAAAGAATCTCTTATGATGGGTTGGGCCAGTCACAGCTGACATCTTCCCTTATCAAAAAAAGGTAGAATGCACTAAAAGAAAAATTCACATGAGGGAAAGGAAGAAAATCTGAACTAGAGAACTGATACAATAACAGGGTCACACTGGAGAGAGTAGAGTCTGGCAGTGCATTTGATTAGGGTTAGAAGCTTCTCTTGAATTTGAGATAGCAAGTGAAACATGGATTTTAAGCTAAAACAACTTTTACTTCAGAAACTAAAGTGTGGAACTCACTAGGCCCAGAAAATCATTGGAGTGAACAGAATATTCCTTTCTTAAAGTATCTCCAAAAAGTACATAAAAACCTGAACCCAGGAAAAGTTAGCAGTGATAAAGATGTCACTATGCTTTTTTCCATTGTAACACCATGCGTCAGGAAGAAAAGTCATGGTGGCCAAAACTGTAGTCATTAACAGCTGGCTCAGAAACTCCACTGGAACCTGTTGATTTGTCATTTAAAGGATAGGTCTCTCTTGTCTCAGGAAGTTCATGGGAATTTAGACAAATCAAGATCCAAGAAAATTTTAAAAGACGTGGTAGATCATATGAACATTTGTGTGATGTGAGAACTGATAAAAAACAAAACAAAAAGCAAGTGAGGAGAGTATGGTAACCTGTAGGACACAGAATAGAAGATGAGAGTAGACATTGATAAAACAGGAAAGGTGAAAGGAAACTCTTAATTCATAAATAAAGATAAAGTTTTCAATTTCTAACACCTTAACAAATACACTGTTCTAAAAGCTGTTTGATTGTTCTATAAGCAGAGCAAACAGGAGTCTATAAAGGAATTAGAGATGTTCATTATAAGTCACCAGTGTAGAATCAAGAGTTTACATTTGCATAATAAAGATCTTTTTAAGATAGACAGAAAAAAAGAACAGATAGTAAAAGACAAAACCTTAGGGACACTTCAGCCGAGTGAAAAGGAGGAAAAGATCATGAATAAGTAGTAAAGAAGCACTTAAGAGACAGGATACAGGCAGGGGATTTAGCTCAGCGGCACAAGCACCTGCTGGACAAACACAAGGTCCTGCATTCAATCCCCAGTAAGAAGGAGAGAGAGAGAGAGAGAGAGAGAGAGAGAGAGAGAGAGAGAGAGAGAGAGAGAGAGGATATGATATATTTAAAGTGGTGTAATTAGGTGGACAAGAAGCGCAGGTATGCACCAGAAGGTAAGTAGTGGTAACTTTAGTCAGAAATGTAGACAGAAGCATGGATTCTGCAGAACTTGACTCTAAGGGATAAGGAGAAAATGAACATGGCAGTGTGTTATAGACCATAGGCCTGGAGCATTTCAGAGTCAGAGGAGACAGATAGAAAGTCAGCAAGGGCAGAAGCATCATGCCAAGATACATGGAAATAAGACAGACCTAAGCATGTCTGAATATATACAGACATAACCTGATGCCTTGAGAAACTGAAATGTGGTTAGAGGAAAACTACGCATATAAAGAAAAGAGAATTTTCAAAATACCCACTGCTTTAGATAAGGTAAATAGGAATAAGATTACGAGAAGTGCTAAGAGGTCATCTGCAAGCTGAGCAATGGAGCACATGGTAAAGGAAATAATACTACATGGAGAAATCAGGCATCTGAAGGGCTGGTACTGAAGGTATAGAGCTCTGATTTCCACCTTTTTCCCTGTCACAATCTGAATGGTATAATGAATTGTATTATTGTACCCTATGGAAGGAAAATCCCTTCCAGTTCCTCCCTAATGCATGACCATTTGAATTACAGCACCCCTCTCCATGGAAAGATTATACACTCCTAGCCTGTTGAACTCAGTGGTGGCCAGATGCCTTTTGCTGACCAATAAAATGAGAGCTGGAAGGGATTTCAACCCTGTTATAAGCAGTGACTTCAAAAGCTATCATGTGGTTGGTTACATCACTCCCTTTTCCCTCTGCTATGAGACCAAAATTTGCCAAGGAGGAAATACTTTTCCAGCTTAGGTCCTCAGTAAACTGAGGAATTTGAGATTGTTCCTTAAAAAGCAAAATTGAGTCTAAGCTGACTGATAGGAATTATATAATCAAACTCCCATAATCAACACTGGCTTGCTAGTAGAGTTGACCCCACATGAGAACCTCTTATATGCCAATTCATAGAACGAAGAGATACTAGAATCTCCAAGCTTGGGAAATCTTTGTACTTTGAATTCTTCTTTCCCTATGAGATTATTATATCTTTCCACTGCTATTTCCTGGGTAAGAAAAACTTGTCTGTGGTCTTTAAGAAGAATTTAAGAATAAATAATTCTTTGAAGAATTTCAGATATCACCAAGAAACCAAAAACTTACTTCCACTGGCTCCTGTTTGCTTGGGTCTTGCTAGTTTACTTGGATGGGTTTGACTGGGTCTTTTCCTCTTCCCTGACCATGGCTTTTCGCCTTTTTCTAACTTGCTGATCATGTCTGGTTTGGGAGCTTGATACCCTGTTCATAGGAAATGGTAGAAATTTAGTGTTAGAACAATAATCTCAGAAATCAAGTCCTACTGTTTGCACTTCAGGGTCTTTTAAGAATACATAGCTCCTGAAGTTTCACAATGTAGAAGCTCATGTCCTTCAACTGAGTAGACCTTCTATTTGGAGACAGTGGTACAAATATCCTGTCCTGTACCCAAAAGAGATTAAACCTCTCTGACCCCTAAAAATCGAAGCCAAACTCATTAAAGACTTCAGGAAGAAATCAACATAATGAACACAGTTTGAACTGCAAGGGACTGTCCTTACCCGTTGAGGCTAGGTTGGTATAGTTCTCCAGCATCACATCCTTGTACAAGTCCCTTTGAGCAGGATCCAGTTTCTCCCATTCCTTCTGAGTAAAGGCCATAGTCACATCTTTGAGCGTCACTGATCCCTGTAATAACATAGTCCTGTTCAGTTTTACCCATATTCTATGAATGATTTGGACAAGATAATTTGTCTGTATCTTGACCACTCACTGCTGACTACATGGTTTATAGCAGTGGTGTGTATCAGTGGCACACACACTGCCACTAGCTGTTTGTTATCACCAAACACTCTAAAAGGTTTGCCATTGTTGGTCTATAGGATACCTATCCTCTGCCTAATGAAGTACTTTTTAAAAGAAATAAAAACTAACATATTTTCCTATTATAAATGTATTTATTTAAAAGAATAAAATCATATGAATATTAGAAGAAAGAAAGAAAGAAAGAAACAAAGAAAGAAAGAAAGAAAGACAGAAAGAAAGAAAGAGAGAGAAAGAAAGGAGGGAGGGAGAGGTGAAAGGGAGGGACAAAGTCTTTATCTTCTCTTCTATAACAATAGATAACTAAAGGCTATGAAGCAGTATCTACACTACAGAGTTTTAATGTAAAAGAATCAAGACTTTTGATTTTTATAATCAGTTGAAAAATAATTTTGCTTAGAAGCAAAAGTAAAACATCTTAGGAATGAACAGATACAGAAATTACACTACCTACATGCTTTAGATGTGAAGAAAGAGTGAGAGAGGAAAGGGGAGAGAAGCAGGGAAAGAGGAAAAAGGAAATCTTTAAAAGAAAAATTCAATCAGAATAAAATCTCAATTTAAGAAAGACTAAATATATGACAAAGCTCCGAATAGTAGTAAAGCCAGTATCATGTCTAGTTCAATCTAAGTACCTTAATAATCTGCTTATGGAACTGTCATAACAATATTGTTAAAATCAAGAAATATTATATAAAAAAAATAAAAAAGAATGTTACTGGGAGGAGTTGGAGGCAGAGGGGAAACTAAAGCATGATGAAGCTTTATAATAATGCAAGTGAGTGGAGGAGCTATTGGAGAATTTTGATACCAATAATACAGATTTAAATATGTTTATTTGACACTTAAAGATAATCTCTTACCCTTGCAGGCCACCAATCATGCATGCATCACTAATCCCTGTCAACCTCTTTAGCCATTTCTGTCACCTGTTTGTTTTAACTAAAATTAACCTGAGGACCCTGCTTCTTTGGAGTAGTCTCAAGTGGAAGTTGTCTTTTTGAATTTCCCATGATCTATGTACTTCAGGATCTGAAGATGAGGTAAATGATTACCTGAACTATTTCTCAAATCATCTTCAAAATCCCTTTAGAGTTATCACCAGACTTTAACCACTAGTTTCTCTTGATTCAATGACTTAATGTGAGTCATCATGTGGCTGTATTCATAGATTCAAGATTTATTACAGCAAAAGAATTCAGAACAAAATCAGCTAATCATCACACGATGAATTCCAGACAAAATCAGCACAAGCATTCCAGGGACCCCTCCCATTGGAGTCATATGGGATATGTTTCATTCTTCCAGAAGTGAGTTTTGGCAATACATCTAAAATGTAGTCTAAAGGCAACAGTTAAGCTAGACTTTCAGCCTGATTGGCTAAGGACTGAAAAGGACCAATTCAACAAAGCCAGCATCTCTACAGGTGACCTCCTGAGAGCACTGAACAAGGCTTTGGTTTTACTTTTATGTTGTTTCTACAGGAAAATGTCTCACTGCTGAGCAACACCAACTGAAATGATTACAGAACAGAAGCAGAGCAGTGGTTAGAGGGAATGGGAATCTCCAGCAGGACTTTCCAGGGCCATTCTACTCTGCTGACATCATAGTACAACTGTCTCTGTACATAACTATGATCATAACCACCAGCTTTCACAGGGAGCTTAGCTGTACTGTTAACCCATAGTTGCCCACTTTCACCCCAAGAGGTAGTTTCTTTCTCACTACTACTTATCCCGAGGAAATGAACCTTTCATTTGTCCAGAATGATCACCTCAAATCATCTCTTTAAGCAAATCTGAAACTACTACTTTGCCACTCTCAGCTAATGAATTTGTTTTATATTTCAAAAAGAAAATAAATTCAAACAAGAAGTACCTTGCTGTGCTATCACCAATTCCAAACCCTCATGAAGTATACCTTCCCTTCTGTTGAAATGAAAAGAATTTTTCCTTCTTCTCTCACCTAAGTCTAGTTTCTCTATTTGCACTCTCCATCCCAGCCCCAGCTGCATTCTCAAGAGGTAATTCCCTGCAATTACCTCTTTCTCTTTTATATCATCTACTTCTCCCTTTTCCTGGGATCACTTCCAGTGATGTTGAAAGTTGCGTTAATGTTATTAATTTAAAGAAAACCCTCTCTTGACTTCATTCCCCATTTAATGTGCATTGCTTTCCTTCCTTTACCAGCAAAACTCTCCATAATCATTATCTTTTCTATTTCTACCTTAGTATCTTTAACTCAATCCAATGGGATTTTATTTTCATCACCCCCCTGACAGAACTCTAATCCACTGAAATAATCTTTGAGCTACATCTTAGCAAAGTCAAGTTCTCCACGGTCATATTTTGGAACTCATAAGAGCATATGATGATTACTTTCATTATCCTGAAAAGCATTCTTCTCCAAGATTCTCTGATACCGTACCTGCACAGTTTTCCTCCTATCTCAGTGACCATACCTCATTCTCCTTCTGGCTTTTGTCCTCTGAATGCAAAAGTGACTCAGGTTTCATCCTTATACCTCTTTTGTTCCCCTATCTGCCTTCTCTTTCTACATGATGTGAGTCAATCTTGAACTATCATCTTTATCCTGCAAAATTTCAAATACAGTTCCCTAGCCCAGGCCACTCTTACGTTCTATATCATATATCTAATGGCTAGTCAACATCTCTACTTGGATATATACTGAGCAATTTGACTGGGTAAAACAGAATCACTTCATGAACCCTTCTCATTTCCTTTTACCACTCTGGTCTTCAACACTACTAACGTTTCTCAGAACATAGAATCATCATCCATCCCATTCCTGAGTCCAGAAGTCTAGATATAAAGCCTGATTCCCCTCTTCCTTTATGATCCATATCAATTATCAGTAAGTCCTACAAGCTTATACCCAGATGGATTCTGAAACTGATTTCATCTTTCCGCTACAACCTACTCTAAACCATTGTCAACTATTCCTTCTAACTACTGTTGTAAGCTTCTAACTGATTTTCTTGTACCTACTTTGACCTTTTGCAGTCCATCTTTCTCAGAGTGGGCATGGTGTTTTTTTTTTTTTTAAATATCAATCACACCAGAGGGCCTCTGCTTAAATTCCATAGTTTCTCAATACTTTCTCACTGTAATTATAGTAAAATTCAAAGTCTGATGCTAGTCACTAAGATCTGATAATCTTATCATTTTGACCTCACATCTTTCTACTTTCCCTCTGAATATGATCCAACAACATTAATCCTCCCCGTTTCTTACGCACACCAAGTTCACTCCTACCTCAAGCCCTTAGAACCTGGTATTCCTTCTACCTTCAACACTATTTCTTCAAAATTCTGCATGGCAATCTCCTTGTCGTCATTTATGTTGAGCCTAATTGTCATTTCTTTACAAAGGTTTTCCAAGACTAACTTTGCTAAAATCATACACTCCCTAATTCTAATAACTCTCTACGTTATTTCTTTTACTTTCTTCATAGTACTTACTACTGCTTGGAATTATCTTGTTTATTTTTGATTGTCCCTATTGTGAGACTGCAAAAATATAGAGGGAGAGATTATGGCTCTGTTCCTAGTGTATCCAGCACTTAAAACACTCCTTGGCACCAAATAAGTATTCATTTTACAGTATGTTCCTACAGGTTTCCAAACATTGACATCCAAATGTTCATCAACCACTAACCTTTGCAAACTTCCAGTACTTTATGGAACCCTACTACTATTTCCCAAATAGTTTTATCACAGATCAATCATTAATCTCCAGAACCCTTCAATCACTGATCCCTAACAAATCTTCCATCACTAAACACTGCAATCCCTAAATCCCCAGTCCCTTCAGGATCCTAAATCACAGAACAGTAGAGGACCTTTAATCATCAGCTCCTACTAAACCACCTCATCACTAAAAGCTCAGTGAACACCACCTAATTATCACTGATCATCTTTTCTCCCCAAATGACTTACAATTCTCTGCTATATCCACAGACATCTCAAAACTGACTCCCTAGGTTACACAAGCCACTATCCCACCCTATACCCAGGCTCCCCCATACCCATCTGAGCACACTAATCCCTGACTCTCAGCGACTCCCAATCAGACTTCCACAAACAGTACTGTCACTGACCCGCCAAGGCCTCAACCTCTGGTCTGGTCCTCTCCAGCTCTCCTTGTCCAGCCCCTTGAACTCCTCAACACTGCCCCCTTCCACAGTCCAGTCTCTAATCTCCACAGGTACCTGCAATCGCAGATTGCCACTGACATTCTAAATCCCTAAGCCTCACAGATCTTCCAACCTCTAACACATCACGAATGCCACTTCGGATCCCCCAGGTGTCCCAATCCTGACCTGTCAGTGCTTCAGCCATCACTATCTGCGCAGATCCCTCAAAATCAGCAGTCCATCCCTGACTCCACACACCCCTACCCTGGCACCGGCCCAAATCCCTCGGAACCCTGACCTCCCCAAAGACTCTCCCTCGGCGACAGCAATTCCCAAATGTTACCTTCACAAGCTACGGAAACCTGCCAATTACTGACCATCTGAGATTCAAACTGCCCCGACCCATTACTGCACTCACCGCGCCGCTGCACTCGGATTCAGATGCAGCCATCTCGGGCAGATGCCCGGCCTCGACCTTGTTGGCCGTTCCCACACTTCTGGTCCACAATCGCTGGCTCTGTCAGGATCCTGTTGCAACTGGAGGCCGATATGGCGCCCACCACCAGAGCGACCGCGGTCGTGCCGCAGCTGCAATGGCGGCTCCCACGGTGCCTGTGGGTGCGGCCATCTTGGGAGAGCTTTGCCGTACAGCTGGGGTGAGAGGAGCACTGGGAGCGGCTTCTGAGGCGGAGAGGAGTCCCTGAGGTGGTTTAGGAGCAGCGCCACACAAGCCAGCGGCGCCTGCTCAAGTTCTCGCTGCCTCAGCCTTGGCTCCTGTGTTTCGCCTTAATAATTCTGTTTAAAGAATCTAAAGTTGTTTTTCTTCATTAAGTCAGTACAGCGGGAAAACTCCGGAATCTCTGTACCTAGTGTGGACTTCAGAGAGCAATAATGATAAAAGAATTGGAGAGAAAAAGCCAGATCAGACAAACAATATTATTTTATAGGGAGAGGTTGTTAATCTATGGCATATTTGATAAATCCAGCAGCAGGTCAAGTGAATACACCACTCCTCCGTTAGAGCCCTGGTTTGGTGGGGGAGATTTCAACAGGATAACCAAGCAGCTGGAGCAAAAATAATTTACTGATATGCTCTTTCACATGTGCACTGCATTCACTGAACAATTATTTAGTAAGCTTTTAATCAAGCATGTGCTGTTGGGGTGCTGCTAGGTGCTGGCGCAGGCAGGGAGACTCAGGCAGCCTGTGTTCCCTTGCTGTGGGGCATACAGATTTTCCTGCCTGCTTTGCACCTTCTACTAGGGTGAATGAAGAGGTTAGTGGTTGCATCTACTGACTCTGTCCTCAGTCTTTTAATCTGACTGTAATTCTCACTCCTTATTCACTGAGCTCGTAAGACTCTCGTAGATGGTCTGTCTTAAGGACAGTTTCTGCCTAGTTCCCTAGTTCCTGATTTTTATGTGGTCCCAAAGATCACAGTGATGTTTTCTATTTATTTTAAAATAATCACAACGTTTTTTCCTAGTCTTCTGGCATCAGTCTAGGACCCTACAAACTGTGTTATAAATGAAATATCATAGTAAGACTTCTAATATGGCCCCCATTCTCCCTGTCCTCTGGTATTACATACCTTTTCAACAGCCCCCATTTCTTTGGTGCAGAAGAAAGCTGTGACTTGAGGAAATATCACGTCAGAGCTATAATCAGATAAACCTTTAAGAGACTTGAACTTGCTCAAAGTCACAGATTCCAAGTGTGGGAGAGTGTATGGAGGAGGCCACATTCAAGGACTGGAGTGCAGCCTCTGGCAGCTGAGTGGGTTTTTCCTGCACCTAGCAAAGCAACAAAGGATTGAGTCCTACAACTGCAAGGAAATATTATCTGCCAATGAACTGAGACAGACGGGAGCATAGCTTTCTCTAAGGAAATCTCTAGAGTAAAATACAACCCAACCAACATCTTGATTTCAATTTTGTGCAAAACGGAGCAGAGAACCCAGCAGTCTTTGCGAGCATTTACCAGAGAATGTACAGAATAAATAGATAGATACAATATAAGGAGGTTTATGATGAGGATTGTGGGGTCTGAAAAGTCCTACAATTTTTCATCTGCTATCTGGAGAACAAGGAAACCAAGTGGTATAATTCAGTGTCTGAAGGCCTTTGTGGAGGATGGAGGAGGACTGGTGTAAGTCCCAGAGTCCAAAGGCTTCAGTGTCAGAGAAAAAAAAATCAAAGTCCTAGTTTGAGAAAAAGAAAGAATTCACTCTTCCTCTGCCTTTTTTTCCTATCAGGCCCTCAAACAGATTAAATGATTCCCACTCACCATGGTAATTAAATACATGGACATTGTGTTCTCTCAGACACCTTCACAGTTACATCTAGAATTGTTTTACCAGTTCTACGGGTGTCCTTTAGTTTAATATACTGACACATAGTCAGGTGTGATGGTGCATGCCTGTAATCCCAGCACTCAGAAGGCTGAGGCTAGAAGATCGCCCTGAATTTGAGGCCAGCCCAGGTTACATAGTGAGTTTACGATCAGCCTGAACTGCATATTGAAACCTTGTCTCAAAAAGACAAAATAAGTAAATAAAATAAAATAAAAAATAAATTGGCACAAAAATTTAGCCTTATGCCAGCCATACCATGCTCAGACATTGAGTTTGTGGAAACTGTGAGCTAAGTTTGTGTTGCCTCAACTCCCTGGAATGGGTGATTATTTGCTATAGAGTATCACCATCGTTCTGGGCTTGGGCAATTGATTCTTCTGCTCACATAGAAGCCTGACTCTGTTTCTGATACTTAGCCCTGATCATATCTAAAGGCCACATGTTTAAAAAGAGGCTTCTGTTCTCTGTTTCCTTTCAGACAGGCCAGACTCTCCAGTCTTTTCTTCTTTTAACATCAATTTTCTCTTACAAGTCTAAACAGATTCCAATGTTTTTATAAATAAAATGTCATTCTAAATCTTAAGTTTTCAATGCTACTTTGAGTGTAGTAATTGACTGGCATCTGCAGACAGCCTTTAGCAGAAGAAAGGATATGGAGAAAGAAGTGGGTAGAAAGCCACAGAAAGGGTAAAGATGTTCCTTGCATTGAAGAAGAGGAAAAGCGAGGAGGACTAAAGTTGGAAAGCATAAATGAGGAGCAAAAAGAAGTGGTGGGAATAAACATAAGATGGTGACCAGAAACTTCAGTTTACTGAAGAGATTCAATCGTTAAAACAGGACAGAGTCAATCAATACATTCCTAGTTCGGGATAAAAAGAGAAGCTCTTGTGGTTTAATTGATTTGTAAAGACCATATGGATCAATATGTGGGTTGTATATTTATGTGTAAATTTTCGTATATAAGACATTTTCAAGTGAGTGAAAAATTATCAAACAAATGCCAGGAAAGCTGTATATTCTTTTTATAAAGTCTGTCACTTTGTCTGATCTCAGCCGACTCTACCAGTAATTCTAGGTACCTGAATTTCTAATTGTGGCACTGGACCATGAAGAAATTTTTTTCAGAGGAGGATGGGGTGGCGGGTGGAGATAGGCTCTCACTGAGTGGCCTAGGCTGGCCTTACACTTGTGACCCTTTTGCCTCTGCCTCCCAAGTGTTGGAATGTCAGGTATATAAGACCATGTGGAGGATTTCAAAGCCTAGGCAGAGCTCAAAGTTAGAAATTCCTATGACTACAAGGCTTTCTACATCTTGAGGACAGAGAAGGCTGACATCTGCATGCTGCAGCCTTCAAACAGACTCCAAGCATCTGTGTATTCCAAACAGCAGCAATCAGGTCACATGCAGCTCAGAAAACCCCCGAATGACCAACTTGACATAAGTCAGTTCTATGGATCCCGAACAGTCTGTCCCCAGCAAGATCCTGGAGTGTGGGCTAAAGGCACTGTCACCAAGAATTATGGTTTCCTTAGTTTTCATTTACCCCTCCTGCTCTCTCAGCACACTTCTCTCAGAGGAATGGACAAAACTAATTGTTCATCTGCTGGGAAGGTTTTTGTTTCTGTTTCTCATAAGCAGTGATAGTCAAACTTCTCATATAATGTTGTTTCCTCCCAATGGACAATGACATCTTCTGACCATGCCAGGCTTAAGGCAAGTTTTCAGCATCTCAGGACCGAGTTTAGAGAAAAAACAGAAGTCAAGTCCAGCTCTTATTGTGACTTTCACTTCTCAGGGTGAGTGGGTTTCTTACTGTGCACTGCACACTCACCTTCATCTGACTATGTTGATGAATTCTTTCTTTCCAATAAATACCAAGAGAACTACTTGACAAGTGTTTAAACGAGAAAAATAAATCCACAAACATGGTTCAGGTTCACAAACCTGGACTTACACTCCCTGTTCCTCTATACAGTGAATAGGATGCAGATACACATTGTTGTTTCTGGGGCTGGACTCACACATCTGAAGCAGTTACTTTTTCCTCTGGTTGTCCGCTAGGAGTCTCCGTAACTCCTCCAGATGGCCTGTGTTCCTTCTAACAGCCCTCTTTCCATCTGAAAAGCAAAAAAATTTTGTATGAATTGTCAAAGATGAAGTCTCACTGGCTTTCCTTCCTCTGCCAGCCAGAGAAAGGTTTGTTTTGTTTTGTGAGGTTTTCAGTGTAACTTGAAATTAAACCCAGGGCCTTCACACTGAACTATATGCCCAGCCCTGTTTTGTTTTTTTATTTTGAGACAAGGTCTCACTGAGTTATCCAGGCCTCAAACTTTTGATCCTCTTGCCCTAGGCTCCCAAGACTGCTGGGATTACAGACACAGATCATTAGCCTAGGGAGAAAAGCTTTCTGTTTCTAAGGGTGCCATGGACTTTTTGGCCCACTGGGTTAACGATTTTAGAGTTAAATTGATTAGTAACCTCAGTAACATCTGCTAAATCTCTTTTCCTGGGTCACATAAGATAACTGGGGGAACCAAACAGGGACTAGATAAGACAAAGACAACGTTTTGACAGCTGTCGCGTGGGGCAATTGAGGTTACCACATGCAGTGGCCTCAGGGATCTCAGCTGAGTAACTTTGGATCGTGTGACTGAGTTTTCATCAAAATAACATGCCAGAGGACTTGGCTGCCACTTTCAGACTTGGAAAGTGAATTTCCCATGTACAATAGACTCTACTGAAGAAACTTCATTATTATTAAATATAACCTACCAAGGACTGAAAATTATACATGCCATATTAGTTCATCCACAAAAAAAAAATAAAAACTAAAGAGTGTTTCTTAAAGCAGCTGGCACAACATACTTTGTGTAATACAGATTATGAGTAAGGTAATGTCCCAAAAATTATCAGGGAGACCCTGTTCTTGGCTACTTCTTGCTAATATGTGAACAGAGGACTGGCAGTGAGGACACTGTTCTCTCACATACTTCCTCTCTCACACATTTCCTTTCTCTGTCACCCAGTCCTACCTCACAACCAGAGCAGAACTTTGGGCCCACTTTCCAGAATGATATGAACTTCTGTGACTTTTATTCTCTATCTCTTTTATATGGGGGCAGAAAGTGAGGTGAGAAATGTGTAGAACACAGAGAAAAACAGATTTCAAAGCACAGGAAGTGCATTGAGCTAAAATTTCAACCCTAGAAAGGCTATAAAGACTAACAGAACCTCAGAATATCCACTATCAATGGAAAAGTGAAAGGTTTTA